GAATTTGGCTTCGATTCTGGCCGTTTTCCCTGGCAAGCTCTTTGCTCTCAATTCAGCGGTCAGTATTCAGGAAGAGTTGTCCGCGTTGCAGCAAATCTTGTCTGAGCCCATCGTCGTTGAGGCTCGCGAAGATCCGAATCCTTCATCGATGCCTGCCAATCCCAATTCGAACAACAAAGTTGCTAAAGCATTGTGTGTTATTTGCATGGACGAAGAAGCGGATGGAGTGGTCTTACCATGTGGTCATCTCTGTGGTTGTGAGCCTTGCTTGAAGATATTGCTCAACAGTGAAGCCAAGTGTCCCATTTGTCGTGCACACATGAAATCAGTTGTCAAAGTATTCCAGAGTGGAGTTGTAGAAGAAGACATGCAAGTGGAGCAAAAACAACCTGAGATTGTACCTGCACAGGTTGGTTGTTTGCATTTTTTTTTGTAGTTGGGTTTTGAATTGTTCACTGCGACTCGATTGTTTACTTCAATTCATCTTTTTTGTTTTTCATATTCATTCAGGATGAGGATGATGGAAATTGGTCCTTGGCACAGCAATCCCTGTCTGCTGCATCTGCTGGTGCATCTTTGTCCTCCGCTCGCCCTGCTCTCTCCATGGCTCCAGCTGTCGAATGGGTCAATGATCAAGTCCCTCTTCCCATTGCCATTTCCATTGCTATTCCGGACATGGCTCAGCGTTCACAAGTGGATATTTGTTGTGTCATTGATGTGAGTGGCTCTATGGGGGAAGATGCCAAATTCCAGGACCCAAACGATGCCTCCAAATTCGTCAGTGAAGGTATGAACCAACTGGACATTGTCAAGCATTCGGTCAAGACAGTCATTCACACATTGACTGATCAAGATCGTCTCAGTTTAGTGGCCTTTCATGATGACGCGCGTTTGGTCTTTACGCTTTCTGAAATGAATGAGGGTGGAAAGAGGCAAGCCATTGATGCTCTGGAGGCGTTGGAGCCACAAAACTCCACCAATATTTGGTATGATTCTCTTTTTTAGTTTGTTTTTGTGAAATTGATATTCATGTTTTTGTTATTTTGTTCTTGTTTGTTCCAGGGCAGGTCTGGAAGCTGGTCTTGAATCTCTTCGCACTGCTCGTGCTTCTCCACGACGTCGGTTCATTTTGATTCTCACGGATGGTCAACCCACGATCTCTCCTCCTGGTGGAGAGAATACGGCTTTGCGCTCTTATTTTGAAGCTCATGCTGGATTCACTTGCAGTGTCTCGACTTTCGGATTTGGATATCAACTCAAGAGCAAGATGCTATTGGATGTGGCCAGAGAAGGCAAAGGCACCTTTGCATTTATTCCTGATGCCAAAATTGTGGGTACTTGTTTCGTGAATTTTGTGGCCAATGCTTGTACCAACCTAGCATTGGATGCCAAAGTGCATTTGGAACCACAAAATGGGGCTATTTTCCCTCCTGTATTGCATTCTTCCTTTCAGCGAGTGCCTTGGGGTTTGGTCTTTGATTTAGGACCACTACACTTTGGTAGTCATCGAGATCTGATTGTACCTATGAAGATTCCCGTCGGTGTTCACGACCATCATCATCCGTTTCTCAAAGTCACTGTGGAATGGAACTCTGAAAACAACAACCACAAAGAATCCTTGTTAGGTTCTGATTTCGTGGTGACTGCCGATGCATTGGCTGCTTTTGCTCGTATGTCCAGTGTTCATTCATTGGAACAGGTCATCGACAAGTGTGATGCTACCGACCCAGCCGGACCTAAAATCTTGAAAACTCTGATTGGACAACTCATTGGATTGGAAGCGACAGCGAAAGATGCTCGTATTACAGCTTTGTTGAAAGGCGATTTGCAAGAAAGAATCAGCAAAGCCGTTTCTACTGTGGAACGATACCAACGATGGGGAGCGCACTATTTGCGAGCGATTTTGAGATCGCATGAATATCAAATGACGACCAATTTCAGTACGTTTTTTGTTTGTGTGTATGTTTTTTTTTTGGGGTGGTGGAGGGGAGCATTGATTTTCATTCTCTTTACTTGTTTTTGTTCGATCTCTTTTGCAGTGGACCCAGGCCTTCAAGTCTATGGCGGTGTTCTTTTTTCCGAATTAGTTCATTCTGGTGGCGAGATTTTTAAAGGATTGCCTTTGAAAAAGTACTCTGACCGTGATGCCAACAGCAACAACAATAACAGTAACAACAATGCTAGAGCTGCTGCTGTGCCTGTAGCTGATAATTATTATGCTGGTAACTGTGGAGGTTGCTTCAGTGGGGAATGTGTTGTGCAATGCAAAGAACAAGATGGAATGGTCAGAGAGAAACAGCTCTCTCAGGTTCGTGATTATTTGTTTGGTTGATTTCTTTTTTGTTTGTTTGTCTTCATTGCATTGTATTGCGTTCTTTTTTTCTCCTCCAGGTTCGTTCTGGCGATTGTTTGCAAGTCGTTGATGCTGCTGGTCATGTTGGTTTTTCTCCCGTCCTCTGCTTGGTAGAATTTCAAGGACGCTTTGATTTGCTTGTTTTGCCTTTTTCCCGTTTGGCTCTCACACTGACGCATCCTCTTCGAATGCAAGGTTCTTTCGTTCGACCTTGCGATCTGTCATTCCCTATGAATGATGATCTGGCTGCTCATCATACTGAGATGCCTTCCTCTTTGATCGTGGATCGTGTTTTCAATGTGGTCTTGCAGCATTCTCATGTTTTGCTTTGCATCAATGGCATGGAAGCGGTTACGTTGGGTCATGGATTTATGCAGGCCTTTCATCCGTTTTATTCAACGAAACAAGTGTTGACGACGTTAGAACAAAGACTAGGGTGGAAAGAAGGTCATGTCATCGTGGCTCCTCATCATCCTTTGCGAAATCAACATGAATATTAAAATTCAAAAACCCAATTTGGGTGGGGCAGATGGCTGCTCTTTCTCTCCGAGTGTTTTTGTTGTTTTTTTTATGTGAGAATGACATTATTATTGTGTTTCTTTTGTTTTAATGGTTTCCATTTGCTTTTGGTTCAAAGGCTTGAATACTTGTGATGGCTTTGCCCAAGATCAAGGCGTGAATGTTCAGTGTGACAAAAGGAAAAAATAAAAAAGAGAAAGATATGAAAAAAAATTGTTTAATAATAATCATAATAATAATTAATATAATGAACAAAAATAACAAAAACAAAGAAAATAAGCATTGCACAATCCATCACAAGAAAAAATAAAAATAACAAATAACAAATAAAACGAACAAGCCATCGTTGTTGATTCGGTATTGTCCCGAAATTCGGAAAAAAAAATCCGGAAGAAAAAATCCGGAGGAAAAAATCCGGAAAAAAATAAATCTGGAAAAAAAAAATCCCGAAAAGATAAAATCGGGAAAAATTCTGTAAAAAAGAGGGTGTGGGTGTGGGTATGGGTATTATTAGAAGCATATTCCCAAACTCCACACCCACACTTACACTCACAACCCCCACCTACACTTAACACCTACACCCACCCACAGCCACGGCCACAGCCACAGCCACACCCCACACCCCACAACCACACCCACACCCACATCCACACGCCCCAGCCACACACCCACACCCACGCACACCCAAACCCACACCCACCCATCCACCCACACCCACACCAACACACCCCGCACCCCAAACTTGCTCGGTGTATGACTCTCTGTTAGCGTTCTTGCTCACGAAGAGCGACGAACACAGTTAACGTGCGTTTGTGGTTTATTCTCTCCCCTTATTCTTTCACAAAACAAGTGCTTATATACGTACATGAAAACTAAAGACGAAATATAGAAGAATGCAGCGGTTAATCAAGGGCAAAGGAAAGAAATAAAATACAGAAACGAAAATAACAAAGAAAAGAGAATAGATGGGATCGAGGTAGATGTTATAGAAGAACACACCGTAACACCCTCCTTTCAATAGAGGGAACTTGTAAACGGAAAGACGTAGTGTATCATATAATAAAGAAAAACAGATTGCACGCTACATGTTGATCAACTTATTTGAGGAGACTAAGATCCTTTACACACATAATTTCTTCTTCATTCGTTCAATCCATCGTCCAATTACTGAATTCTTCCAAAATACTTTCGTATAAGTTTTTGAGGAACAAATAAAGATGACAAATGTCAAAGATTGTGGTACATAATGTATGAAACTAACAAATAAATGAATATGTGTCCATATTCCAACTTTAGTTTCGATACAGCCGATGCGTGAAGCTGCTTGAAATGAAATCAAGTTTGTAAGTTGACACAAAAGAATAACGAAAGGTGGCACAAAATATTCAATGTGACGGACAAGTTCATTGTAGAAAGAATGAGGCATTGTCAATTGAAATTGACGTCCTTGGGAAAGAAAAATTTTTCTTCGTGCAATACTTATGAGTACAAGTAGATTCGCTATAAAATGTAAAAAGCTAGAACCAATCGGATTGAACCAGGAAGAAAATATTTCACCGGTCAATAGGGAGGGCGTAGTGTTAAATGTACAGCTGTAACCACTCCCTGACGGTTTCGATGCGATTGTTTTCATTAATATAGTTGGTAATCTTGTAAGTGTGACGGAGATGAATATGATTACAACAATTATTATGGAATATTTTCGTGTTTTTCCAAATAATTTAAAGAAGAATAGTTCCATGAGAGTGCGTTCAACAGCCAGAATCGAAGAACACCACATACAAGCAGCCGTTATAATTGTATTTATAGTTCCGGCAACGTAACAATCAAACACATATTGGTAGAAATACGATTCGGTGACGGTTTTATTACCGTACAATGTGATTATTAATCTTGTTGCAAGGAATAACATATTGTAGAAACTACTGAGGGTGAAAGCAATAAGATAAATGCCAGAATATGTCTTTCTAATATTTTTGCATAAGAAGGTTTGTAGAGAAAAGATATTGTTGATAAGTCCAAAAAATATCCACAAATTGAGGGTCAGCGTATATAGGAGCCGATAATTAATCGAAGATGTTGATTGCTCGATTGTATTCGCCATAACATACGGATAATTACGCCAAAGTAAATTATCTTCGATCTCGCATCTCATACCAACAAAACATGGTGGACAGGAACACAATTTACTTCCATTAAGAAAACAATGGCCTCCATTTAAACATGTACTGTTGCTACAATTTACGATAGACATCTCGTTGAAGGAACACATAAATTTATCTTATTGAATAAATATAACTATGAGAAAAAAATAAGGTTTCATAAGGCTTCAATAAACTGAATATTGAATGGAATAAATTATGAAAAAAAGTAGTACAGAGTATGAATAAATTAACTGTATGATGCTCACGTGTCAGAGTTTACTTCCTAGTTTGTCAATAAATGGCGTCTAGTTCGATAAAATCATGATTTTCTTTATATGACGCATATATATATACATAAATATATAGAAGAGCGATTTCTTCTAAAAATGCCAATATTTATAATGTATTCACTGTACTTTTTTTTCATTGTGGTTGGAAACCTTTGGTCAGCAGCACCGCTAACAACTGAAGCCACAAGTAAAAATTGTGAACGATTCCTGCAGTCACGCATTTTAAATTCGTTCGGGGGAGGATGGTGTTCAAGTAACGGATGCCATGGGTCGTCTCAATCTATGAATACCGAATGTAAAGATCGACTAGCTAAAACAATGAGAGAGCAATTTCAATCAGTTCATTTGTTTCCCTTTGAAACTACAATTACGTTTGGTGGTTATTATATGATACCCAGCCTACTCTGGAATAACACTGATGAATTAAATCAATGTCGTCTAGAGAATTTAAGGCATTGCGACGAAAGAGAGCAAATTGGATTGGATGATGATGAGTTGCACGTTTGTCTATTTAATGAACAGCAAATTTTCAACTATACTCAGAATGAACTGGAAACGAAAGTGTTCAAAAAGGTTTTGCCATTGGAAACTGAAAATCTTCAACAACTACCTTTTCCATATGCATTCAACGTCACAGTTACGGATGTTCAGCCCTCAACATTGTGTGGTACTACCGAGTCGGCTATATCCTGCCATCTAGCAATTAATGATGATTGTTCCTATTATATGTGTCATAAAATTAACACAAAACAATTGATTGAAGTAGTCTTTCAATTCGAGCGAGTTAATAGTAGAATTACAATGATGTGTCACCATAAATCAACAGAAAAGTTGGCCGGGGAAGATTTTTTATATAATTTACTCAAGCAAAATGGTGGTAACGGAACTGTCTGTCATTTTGTAACGAGACAAGCCAGTTTCTTTATGTGTTGACGTTCATGAAGAATTAGAGTCATTTTATGAAGTTACCCAAGCGCTTGAATATATTTAACTATGCTTTTTCTTTATTTCAGTAAAGAAAAAGGGTATGGGTGCGGGTGTTGTCAAAATAGAATTGTTGGTTTTAGTAAATTATAGAAAAGAGTGTGGGTGAGGGTATTAATAATAGTAAGCGCGTGTTGTGTAAGGGTGTGGGTG